GAGGGGACGCGGGGCCCCTTAGCGGGGTGAGCGCTTCCCCATGTTCGGGTCCCCTCCGCCAGGTGGGCGTGTCTCCGTGCCCGGCCGCAGGGTGAAGAAGCCGTATGCCGAGGAGTGCATCAGTAACCTCCTGCCTCGCCTGGAGGAGAAGCCTGTCAAACCTCCCAGGTAGGTGGGTACCACAGCGCCACCTGCACACACGGTGACTTGTGCCGGCAAGGCAATACGTCTCACTGGTAACAGGTACTTTAAGGAAACCAAAATAGTTTTTGCATAGTTATTGCTCCTCCCAATGAGTCGCTAACCGGCATCTGCTCCATGCGCTGATGATTCAGTTTGGTGAATGCCATCTTGTTCCTTGGCAAAGAATTTGCAAAGCCCTCTCTCCACGTAGGGGAATTACGTGACATCCTTGTTACTTGCACTTACAGGAAATTTTTCAGTGAGCAGCTGAAAAGTTGGCTTTTTTAATTTTTTTTTCTCAGTGCCACACTTCTATTCTTTTAATTTGTTAGATGTCTCTTCTGACATTGTTTCTTTGCTTCTCTTTCTCACCCCTTACCTTAAAAACATTTAAAAAAAAAAAAAAAAAAAAAAGGCCTTTTCCCCCCCCAGTATTAATTCCTTTGAGAACTTTGGTAGAATTCTTACTTGACAGTCATGGAGACATATGTTGTTTTTCCAAGTCCCTATTACATTATATGAAAGAAAGCTGTTACAGTTAGCATTTTAGTGAAAGTTTAATGTAGGTCATAATAGCTTTAAGATGAGTAGAAATATCAGTGACACTCATTAGAACAAAGATAGTTATCCCATTTCAAGTAAAAGGGTTCAGACGTATGAGATTCCCAGTTCTGAACCTTTTCCATGTAAAAATAACTCATATGTCTTTTCTTGTTTCCAGTATGAATGAAAGATACCTTTGGCAGACAGAGGAAAGTGAAATGACAGTATGGCAAGGCACACAGCACAGTAAATTCACTCCTGTCCTAATACCATTCATGGATTTGGATACTCCATGACTATCATGTTCAGTTTAGGCAAGAGATTCCTTAGGTTGGATACAATCTGACTAAATCCCCTTCTAATCTCATTGACTTCTGTTATCCCGCTTCCTGCTTTGCTTCGCAAGGTGCCCAATATCCAGCTGGTAACAACAGTGTTGAGATCAAGATTCTGAACTTCCCCATAGTCATGTTTTCTTCCTCTCAACCCTCTCTAACTCTATGATATTGGTGATGACAGCATTTAGCCACTTTCTTGGCCTGAGAAGTCACTGAAAAGATAAAACTGCCACATCTCTTTGTCCAAAGGAGTGCCTATAGCCATCTACAAAAGACATCTTTACCTTATGCCAGTATGTAATAAACTCAGTATCTTCTCATTCACTTTTGCATTCCAAGGCTATGTGAACCCTAGTAGGTCAAACTCCTCATAAAGTCACTACCTTTCTCTACTGTGTGGCTACAATGCCACTCCTAGCAAATGGTGAGGAATGCAAAGATTTATGAATGGGGGGGAGGGTTGTGCCTATGTCTGTAGCTGTTTACCAGGAATTTAACAGAAAAAAACAACCCAAATCAAAACAACAAATAAAACCTCATTCCTTATAATTAGAGATATTTCTGGAATTATAGATATATTATGTACGTAATCCTCTTTCTGAGGACAAAAATAACTCCACATTTTTCATGAAGTCCAGTACAAATACATGTATTGTACATTTGCAGCTCACATACTAAAGCTTTTATCAGTGTTGCTACTATGATTCTCCATTCGCTAGCTCATCATTACATTGTTTCTTTCATACCATTTCATTATTTCTGTAATATAGGTTACATTATATGTGATTTTTTTTTCTTTACATGAAAACATGGTATATTTTTTTCATAAACACATTTTTTTCAGTGAAAGAAGAGCACAGTTGTTCATCAGCTTTTGACTACCATAAATTAATCTGAAATGCTTCTAAAGATGGGCAGATTTTAAAAGGTACAATGAGGTAGCCTTAGCCTCAAGAGCAGGGAGTTTGGCTCCCTGAGAGAAACATCTGTGACAGCTCAGTCCTTCAGATAGTGGCAAGATGCTATTAGTAAGCTAATGATCAGCATTTGGCTTCTTTTGGAGAACATGTTTGCATACTTTTGATTAAAGCAAACTCTAAATGAAAAGAGCAGTGTGTGCATACCGCATGTGTCTTTTCATGTCTGAGCCATTACCCATTTTCACATTAGCCATTTCAGCTAGTGCCAAACCCACTACTGATTACAATAGCTCAAGATCATAGTTTGAATCTATGTAATATAAGAAATACACAGTTTGCTGGGTGATTTTGGAGCAGTCATCCATCTCATCTAGTCACTTACAGTAGTTTATAATGGAAGGTTCAACAGGAACATTGAAATGGTACAGTGGACAGTCAGTAATGAGATACATTGGCATTTGTACCTTTCTCATACTACAAACTTCCAAGTACAGAAAATTAGCAAAGTAGGTTCATGATTACTATTTTCCTGTAGATGCACAACAGCTTCATATTTTGGATGTGGTTTTGAACAAAACAAATACCCACATTAAAAAAAACTTTTAGAAACTGAGTTTATTCAAAAATGAATACCAAAGTATGTAATGCACAACATCAAAATGAATTAATGCAAGCAATATTCAAAGCAGTTAATTTCCGGAATTTAGATTTTGTTGAGTTTCAAAATGTCTGTTTCAGTATCTATATGAACAGTACATACAGGAACCATTCCATAAGTGTGATAATACTAACCTTGGAGACACATGAGAAGAAGGAAGAAGCAAGCTAACTTCAGAATCAGAAAAGCCACTTGTCAGTGCAGTGCTGGACTTAGCCTTAGTATGAAAGTTACATGAATGATGGCCTTTATTTGGGAGAGAGTACAAAACAAAATAGCTTAGGCTTTTGTCATGAACTATTGCAAAAATGTGTATTCTTTTAAGAGGATTTTTAATAATTTTCTGACCTTTAACTTCTTCATGACTATTTTTTAATGTTTAAGGTATATATCCACATATAGACCATTCGTGAAGTGTGAAGCAGAGAAAAATAAAGCTCAGTGGAAAACTATGGGACCAGCAAAAGTTGCAGTGCCATCTCCAAAAAATTTTCTGCAGAAACATTCAAAGGAACCCAAGCTACCAGCAAGTAAGTGTAGACATGAAATACACAGAATGTAATATATTGTTTTAATTTTTAAGTTGATAATATTGATGTTGCAAGTAACAGTTATGGAGAATCAATTTTTTTTTTAATTGAAATATTTTTTGTATGCTGGGCCAGTTTCCATTGCTCCTTTTATAGTACCTATGATACCAAAATTCTTAATTATACAGAAATGTTTCTTATTGTGTAAAATACTGAAGCAAACAACAAGGAAATTATATATGTGATTAGAAAATACGGGAAGTGTTTACTCTAATGTGGTACAAAACCAGATGAAACAAAGAAAAATTCTCTCTCTTCTGGCTGCAGCTGTTCAGATGTTGAAGATGTGTTGATGGTATGTTCTATCTTGCTGATAACTTCGATTTGTCATTACATAGTACAGATTTGTACACCTTTTCTGCAACTGATCATTAATATTAAATAATATGAAAGCAAGTGTTAGAAGTCAAATAATTGTTTTTAATGCTTAAAGAGATACAGGAAAAGTATGTGTGCCTTTCTGAATGTTATAAGCTACATACAGCTTTTACTCTTCAGCACTCTCTTGGCTCTTAATCTCATAGCACTGAATTGGCTGTCAGTGTTCAAAGCATAGAATTTTTTGGTGAGCTGCATGTCACAGAAATGAGAAAATTAGAGTATTTTGTTGCAAAATGCATCCTATCTTTGGGCATCAACCATAATTCTGGATATAAGGAATGGACAGTTCTAATGTTCAGCCTTGTGGACGGTTCTAATGCTCAGCCTTACAGACAGTTCTGTAAGGGTGGATTTACTTTCTTAGTACTGCTGGAGTTCTAAGTACATTGCTGTCAGAATTTGTAATTGAGTTTTAAAGTTTAAAGTTTCAGCACATGCAAATGGCTTTAGCACTGAAAATACAGCCTGTCCAAAGGAGCCTTTGGAGGCTTAATGTCTCAGGCAATATAGATTCTTAGAACATGAAGGTAAGCTTTGGTCTCAGAGGTCCTGTAGGCATCCTGGGCTGGTTTTAGGTAAAGCCTTCACCTTTTCAGGAAATCTGAACAGCATTCAGTATACTGGAACATAATACTTCATGACAACTAAGCACGAATACTTCCAAGCTCAAGACCTTGTTAAATTACCACACTAGCATTTTAGATGGTCATAGGAAAGAAGGTCGACTCACCAATAAAATTGGAGCAGCCTGTAAGATCCCTTTTAAGTACTTGTAATTGTAAAATTAGTGTGGTCTATTTTAGATTTGCTATATAGAAAGACGTACAGCGCTCTGTCTCATTTTTCTCAGACAAGCAGCACACAGTATTTCTGTTTCAACTTGTTGATTCAGAGCTTTGTAATAGCAATATTTGTTTTGATGTTTGCATTTGGAGTCAATGTTCCAAAGCCTCAAAATAACTATGGCACATCATAGCTTTAATCCAGGCTAGTGATTTCATTGCCAGGATTAGATCCTAACAGATCTTGAGAAGGAACTCTACCATTAACTCAGAAAGTTCTTGTACCTTTGCTGGCTGGAATTTCATACCTGCCTCAGCGATGTTACACTGCTCAATCACCACCTTTAAAACATGGCACTTTCATCACTTGGAATTTAACTGGTTATGAGTTTTTCTAAATGGGATTATAGCACTGTGTTTGTGGTAAATGTGCTGCCTTCAAAACTGGGTTAAAAAATTCATTGCAAGGACAGAACAAAAAGATTGATTTCTTTTTTTTCCCCTCAATAGTGTCATTGTTTTAGAGACTGATTACACACCACTTCCTCTTGAAAGGTGTGTTTCCTAACTCCAGCTGATTCTTGTTGTACTACTGAACTCTGGCATTTGTTTTAACTAAGCTCAAGTTGCTGGTTCCAGAAGCGGGGACCTCCTTATAGGGGAGAGACAGTGCTCACTGAGAAGCTTCAGAGATCTTGTTTCCAAAAAGGCATCTTAAGAGAAATAGAGATTTAAGTCTGTGTGTCCTACAGTACTAAGTTATAGCAAGCTATCAGGTTGTGAAAACAAACCAGGAAAGCACCAGTTTGGGGAGTCAGCATCAGGAAACCAGCTGTTGTAGGAATGAGCTCTGTCACTAGTGACATTACACTTGTTTTCTGCAAAAGAAGAACATGAACTCAGACAACCTGAATCAAATCATTATCTCTGGTAATCACTGTGATTTAAGAGTTATGTGTGGTGGGAAATGAGTTGTCTTTCATCACTCCCCTGAAGTGAGACTACTCAGACTTTCTGTTGGTGCCTTGAAGAAATGATTGCACTGAAAAGGAAGAGTTTCTATATTCTCTGAAGAAAGGATTGTGAGAAGTTGTTTGCAAGTGCCAGGGAGTAGCAAGGGCAGGGCTTTTCCCTGATGGGACGTGAGCCAGAAATTGAGAGCAACCACAGTGCAGGCTGGACAATGACCTCAACAACAGAGTTCAGTCCCACCACACCAGAGGCAGGCAAGCAGAGTTGGGCTGATGGTGAAATGTGTCCCATCACTGGCCGAGTGGCCATAAGGCAAGATGGGCCAAGAGGCCAGGTCCATCCTCCGATTCCACATAGCTCTTCAAGACTTAGGACTAGGGTCAGGGATGGCTGAGACAGCTTAGCGAGGCACTGACAGCACAGGGCTGAGCTAAAATGGGGTTTCTGAGCCCAAGGGTGTGGGGTGAATGCCCCAGGTGAGACAAGGCAGAGCCATTAGTGCCTAAGGGCATTGGCTGACAATGAGCATCTCTGGTAAAAGTAGTTTTAATTGAAAAAAGTCCTGTACTACTGCAGTTAAGGGGAAGAGAGTGGCATATTGTAAGGAAAACCCATCTAAACCAACGTAGTATTTCCTAGGTTATAAAGTTTCTGTTACACCAAACAAGCATACTCATTGTTGTTATAGAACATTCCCAGACAGTTCTTAAATTGCAGATACAGTTGGTTTCTATTTTTTATGTAATTTTGTACATAATTTTTCCCTTTTGAAAAATGTTATAACATTAAATTGCAAAGCTCTTCATAGCTATCGCTGAGAATGTTTACGTGCTCAATTCACAGGAAAAAAAGAACAGAATCGTACGAAATTGCCTGAATTATCAGTGCCACGGAGGACAGATCGCCCAGTTATGGGAATTCAGAGTAAAAAGAATTTTATAAACACAAATGCAGTTGCTGTTATCACAGGGCTGCCTAAAAAGCCTCAACCTATTTATGTTGATAGAAGACAGGGAGATAAATATCTGCTTGAAACTTCAGGACTTCTTCCAAAATACATTAAGAAAAAGGTAAGCTGTATTAAATTATAGTGGAAATACTAGTAGGCATGCCTATTGTAGGTTTTCTATTGTATTCTCCTGTGGAATGTTTATGATTCTTTCCGAGATGTTTAGATACCACCACTATTTGCAGTAGACATCTGAAATTCATCAAGGAGAAATCACTGGCCTTGCCTTTGCTCTGTATTCATTTGCTTATGCTGTCAGCGAAAAAATTGGCAGATGATGCTGCTAAAGCAATAGCGTATGTGTTGCATTGGGAACCCAGGGAGTATCTAATGGGGAGACAAATGGAGTTCTGTGATGAATGAGCACTGGGTCTTTAAGAAAGACAGGCAGGGAGGAAGAGATGGGGTTGCCCTTTGGATAAAGGAACTGTTCACATATATTGAGGTCTTCTATGGCATTGGCAACAGGCTGGTTGAGCTTGTGGGTGAGGATCAGAGCAAAGGCCAGTAAGTGTCAAAACTCTGTTGTGGACTACTCAGTCAGGTGAGCAACTTGAGAAAATACTCAGATCACAGTGCAGCTTCTTATGGAATACTTCGGCCCCCTTGACATCTGCTGAAAGGACAGCACAATGGAATGAAAGCAATCCAGATAGGTTCCTGAAACATGTCAGCAACAGCTTCTTAACACAGATGGTGGATGAGCCAACCAGTGGTCATGCTCTTCTGGTTCTGCTACTTACAAATGAGAAAAAACTGGTCAGAGGTGTGATAATCAATAGTAGTCTTGGCTGCACAGGCAGTGAAGTACTTCAAGATCCCCTCCTCAGAGAGGCAGGTGGTTGTGTACAGATCCTGTACTTCAGGAGAGCCAACATCATCTTATTCAGGAAACTAGTAGGTAGGACCCTGTGGAAGACAGCTCTGGAAAGCAAAGAAGCTTCGGAGAGCTAGCCTGCCTTTAAGGACTACCTCCTCCAAGCACAAGACCAGTCTATTCCACTACTCAGAAAAACAAGATGTATCAGGAGCCTGGCTTACCTAAACAAATAACTCATGACAGATCACTATGCAAAAAGAGGCAGGACACATGCCACAACTCATGACAGGGAAGATGGAAAAAAGTGAACTGGCAGCCCTTGCAGTACTTTTGCATAGCTAAACATATATATATAAACAATTCTAGTCATGGTGCTGACCAACACTAAAAGATTTGTGAATCATTTAGCATTTGGTAGAAAGGAGGTAGACTCTGGTACCTTCTGGCAGAGCTAGATAGGCTTAATTTTACAAAGGAAAATGCAAAATAGATGTGTTCCCCCAGGTACATCTGGGATATTCAGAAATTATTTTTCCTCCTTGAAACACAGTTCTGCCACATCCAGTGTGGGATAGTTTATCATCCCTACCTAGTCCAATTTTCCTCTACATGTTAAGACTATTCAGTCTCTTCTGTGGCATACAATGTTCAGCAAAAATCAGGATGCAGGAAGACCTTTCAAAGAAAGTAAGGAATGTGTTTCAGAATGTAGTCTCTGACACCATATAAAAATGTAAAATAGCTTGCTGTCATTAACAGGTTTCAAACTCCTCACTCAACCATCAGTTCTTATAAAATAGATGTTTTGGTTCTTGGCTCCTGTTGTCGTCCAAGGTTGCAAAAAGAAACTGAAGGGAATTGTTTATGCATTTTGCTGAGGCTACAAAGACAGTCATATCTGATACTTCTAAGAACACAGCAATTTAAGACGTTATTGCTCAGTGACACAAAATTCCATTTCAAGATGTCTTTGCAAATGTAATACACTATGGATGACAGGTATGTCTTTGTTTCCTTCTTAAAAGCATATATAAGAAACTTCTTCCTTACCCTTATAGGATTATGGTGTTACACCAAAATACGTAACACGGAGAAATGAAGAAAGGGAGAGAGCTCAGAAAGAGTATGAGGCCAGTATCTTGGAGAATCTCAGGAAAAAAGCCATGAAACGGCTAACTGATGAAGAAAGGAAAAGTCTTCTGCAGGTGCTTATTTTGATTTAGTGTAATTAGTAACATCTGTAAAGAGATTAAACAATGTAATATAAGTCCATATAAATAATGGAAGTATATTAGATTTTAATTAGCTACTTTTTCACTAGATGGAGCTATAGAACAGTTTTAAACTGAAGGGAGCTGATACAGCTAGTTTTAGTCCAGTTTTACAAGTAGTTCAATTCCAGTAGATAGGAAGGGTGAAGATTAAGATATTTTTATGGGGAGAAAGGCATGGGACAAGCTGATGATCCAGCAAATTAACTATGCAGCAAAAATACATCTGCAAAAAGGCATGTGAGTTCAGCTGCTCACAGTTCTGCATTTAGTTTGATGAAAATTATATTCTGTATGTTCAGAATACAGAAGTGCACTGAAACATTTTTTAATTAAAAAGGTTTATTTTTTTTTGTTAACTCAGTATTTTTGTTTAATTTTTCAAAAATGATTACTTTTTCATGGGCCAGATTATTATATAGTTACATTGTCAGGAGGAATTAGTGTCCCCAGGGTATGTGGCTTCTACCCAGTGCTCAGCTGTAGACATATGGGAATTCCTCTCTTTTAAAATAATTGACATCATTGCTAGTGAACACATGTGCTCTATCTGATTTGAAAGAATACATGGCAATAAATGTTTGAGAACAAAATCAAGCCTCATGAACTTACAAAAATAAAGGGGAATAATTTGTGCCAACATTTGTTGAACTCTCCATTATGCTTACTTTTGTTGGGAGAATAAAAGAGAATGTTGATAAATGCAGTACATACTTCTCACTGATCCAGCATGTATAAGAATTCCTTATATAGAGTTACATATTCAGTTTGTGATCTAGCCCATAGCAATAGTGGTCAGCATATTACATTGCTGTTGGAGGAGCTCTGAGGGAGATTTTTATAGAGGGAGTCATGGTCTGATTTTGATCTCTCCGCTCTGTAGGGATAGAGTAAACTGTGATGAGTGTATGCTCTAATGTGTTTTAAAATTTACATTTTTCAGTGATTTCCAAACTAGTTTTTACTAAGGTACGCAAAGACCAATTATTTAAAAGAAGTTATAAATGACTCTTCTATGAAAGTTTTAGAAATACAGTATTTATTTTCATGACTGTATTCGTAAACTCTACCTGATGCCTTGTAGACCAGGAGATTTACGTAAGTAAATCAACCTTGGGTTGCAAAGACAAGTAGCATTGCAAGGAGGTACATAAATAGCCTTGTTGCTCTAAGTTTCACGTGTTGAAGTAAGGCTTTTAAATTTATGTAGATATTTGTACATGAGTATTGTTGGAATAACCTTTATGGACAACGCTTAGATGCTTAATACGAATATGCAAAAAGCACAAATTGCTGTGCAATAGATGCACTGCTTTGAATATTAATGTTTTTCTTATTATTGGCAAGGAGAGGTCTTCTTTTTCTGTTAAATCAGTTCATACAGTGGACAAAATCAAACAATTTTTTAAGTGAATTCTGAAATAAAAGCAACAATCTTCAAAGCTAAATATGTATTAAGAATAATTCCTCTAAATTTAACTTCAGAATGTTAATCAATTAGCCAGTCTGGGAGAAGAGGTGCCTAATGATAATGGAGAAGAAGGATATGAGGTTGGAAGTCACAACATGCCATAAAATCAGTGTGTCAGCTGAATCCCATTTTAGTTATGGAGGAGAGTTGAAAACTGCAGTTCCCAGGAGAGTAACTTCAGTTCTCTTGGGGGCTGAATTGTCCCTAAGATCTCCACTAAGTAAACAGAACTGAGAGCCAAAAATGCTTTGGAAAGGACTTTTCTCATTGCTAGCCATATTGTATTATTTACTGCTTGCTACAAGAGTCCCTTGTAGTAGGTATGATCAGTAAGTTCACCCGTAGTTTTCACGAGGACATATGATACACTGAATAAACTCTACTAAATCCTCATATGCATGTATAGGATGTGTAGATTTTTATTATCCTTTTGAGCAGAGAAAGTAAGAGCAATTGTTGCAGTAACTGTGAGGATATAAAGACGTGTTTTGCATTTCATTTTTCTACCACAGCCCAGTTCCATTCAGCATATGTTAGTGGATAAAAGTTTGTCTCTGCATGATTTTTAGTTTAAGGCAGGGCTTTAGTCTTGGGTTTTTATATATGGAAGATACAGTTCACTTTATCTAGTAAGGTAATTCTTTGCATAGCAGCATTCAAGAAAGCTAACGGTCATTGAAATTACTGTTGATAGGGTCAGTGACAGCTAAGATTTTAGTTCAAATGTTAAATAAGTTGTCCATAGATGTTATCATAAATGTAGATTAGGAAATGCAATTATTTAGCATTTTTTCAAAGTATTTCATTGAAGTTAAAATATTGTGGGATCAGTTTGGTGTCCATGGTCTGAGCAAAGTCTTGGTTATGGAAAATGAAGCTGGTGGTGAGATGAACTGAAACTGCCACTGAATTTTGGCTGGAGTTCCAAGTATTGGTACTCTTTGTGGTTACTTAAAGTAGGTAACACCACTCGGTGTGATGTGGTCATATCTGTGGTAGCCAGGTTGCTGTTTACAGGGAAGTGGTTTCTGTAGTGCAGTTTGTAAGATAATTCTTGTTGCATTCTCATATATTTCCTTTTTCATTTAATGGCACTAGGGGCTGAAAAAGAACTGGGAGGAAGTATATCATGAATTTCAGGGTCTTCCAGTAGAAATGGACACCATCCCCAAGAAGATAAATAAAGAAAAGCTGGAAATACAGATGAAGCAACTGGAGCATGACATAGATGTAATTGAGAAGCACAAAGTTATCTACATTGCAAATGAGTAAGGACTGTTTTTTGGATACCATCTCTTTCCTCCTTTTCTTTTTCTCTATCCATGCATCTCCAAGAAGCACCCCCCTAAATTTTCAGACGAAATTGAAGCTGCCAACTATTCAGAAGGAAATATTCAACTAATATAAGTATGTAGCTTCTTATAAAAATTGTTACATCTAGCTCTCATCTGTACAATTCACAAAATGTTTTGAAATAACATTAAACTCTTAGATTTTTAGTATAAAAACATTAATTTAATCTATTGTTTTTCATAGTTTTTAATTAACTACTAAGATTTCCATAAACATCATACACAACACATGAAAAATACAGTTCCACATGTTTGGAGCATTTCTTTTCCTGCATAGCCAAAACAAAGTGAAATAATTGGCTGCTGAAGAGATCTTGGTAAATACAACTTCAGGGTGGGATGGCTTCTGGACTAGTTACTAAAGAGCTGTTGCGCTTTACTTAAAAGCTTGATGGTATTTCTAAAAAGCTTGGCTTCTGCACAACATTTTGGGGAATAATTTTTTTGTTACAAAAACACCGTTTTTATAGTGGAAGCCTGTAATGATATAGACTTCATGCATGACAGATACCACATGTAGCTTTCAGTGTGTGTTTATGTATAAACAATTCTGTAATTCTATAGTAAATCTACAACTAAAGTAGAAAAATGTGTTTTGATTTCTGTTGTGTGTAATGTTACAATGAAAGCAATATACTAGCAAGTGAGTCAAAACCTAGGCAGAAATTATGTCTGCACACTACAGTGCAATTATTTGCATAAAAAGAGAAATTGCTCTTCTTTCCTACCCTTAACCTTTGCTTGAGCAAAAGGTTTTTCTGTATGGTATCAGTTATTACCACCAGCAGCTGTTGCAACATCATGGTATCTGACATCAGCAGAGGATGAAGTCAAAAATTTCAAATGAACTATTAAAAGCCAATTTTTCACGTACATTAAGTTCCTTTCATGAATGTGTCAGGGAATGGCTTTGAGGACTCCGCAGTGATTCCGGGCTATTATTTCCTGTGCATCTTAAACTTGCCTATGACATGCACTACAAAAGCGTGGGCGAGGAGGAATGTGTATTTTATTCTCTGTAACTTATTGTTCAGCAATCATGTTTATTTTGAAAAGATATAAGCTGAAAGCAAGCTGTGGTTTTGTAAAATATGAATTTCATTTACTGTTTACTCAAGAGAATGATTTATACTGTATATTTTAACAAAACCAAACCAATTACTGGCACTTAATAACATGTCACATTATCTCCTAGTGAAGTACAAGATGCCTTTCTTAAGAAAATCGATATAATCAAACATGGCTGTTTCTTGTGGCTTAAAATAAAAAACTGGGTTTGACTCCAGAACAGCGTGCATTCCCACTGCCACACTCTCAGCTTTTAGCTACTTGTAGACCATTTGGCTGAATTAGGTTAAGGATGCCGATTAGGTTCTTCTGTTCATCATCAGTAAACTTTATGGAAATGCAAAGTAGGTGATGGCTTCTCCCAAAAACTGGGACAAGCAACTAGGCCACACGTGGAAACAGTCATCATTCACCAGTAATAATGACTGCTTTTTAAAACTGGAAGAAAGATATCAGTGTTTTATGGGGAAGTTAGGAAGTGCATGGGAAGGGATGCAAAAGGATTCCTGCTCAACAGGAGACACCAAAGCCAGTACTCTTCTGTAGCTGAGTGCGCTGTCACTAGCATGCTTCAACAGTACTGTAGAATTTTTTTGCATAAACCTTTAGAGGTAGCTCTGCTGCCACGCAGCATACAAGTCCTTCTTGATACTTGTGAATAAATTCTGTCATCCTGTGAGGAGGTTATAACTCCTTCCATCTATTTTGATGTGTATTTCATGTGACCTACGAATACTTCTGATTATGGATCAAATATATTATAATGAAAACCATTGAAAATACATACAGAAGGAAATCATACTTACCCTTTAAATCTCTTCGGGAAGTTTGTCAAAATAAATTCACAGAATCCAAAGAATGTAATTTATTTATATATTTATGTATTTCTATTTTCGGGAAATGCCAATAATTGAAGGCGTAATGTTCATAAATTGACTAATATGTACCATCAGTATAACTAATGCAAAAAAGTGAGTAAAACCAATTGTTCTGATAGAATTGTTCCTTCATAAAAGATACTAAATATTAACAGAAATAGGTCTGTCCACAGGCTAAAAAGTAGCATTGCCAGTTGAAACTTTCTCTAAATTCACTAGTCAGTTACTGATAATCGATGAAATAATGAGAAAGAAAATCATCAAAATGCTTCTCGTACTTCATAATTACCAAACTGGTATTTTTAAACAGTCCATATTAAATTGGATGACCATCAAAAAACACATGCTAGACAGGGTATGAATGCTGTATCAGTCAGTAAGAACTATGTTGCCACAAACAGAAAATATTTCCTGTTGGAAGCTGTGCATGACAAAACTCTGTACCTATTTTTTAAAAATAGCAACATGAAGTTATGATAAATATCTCACTGGCTGTTCTTCAGAATGAAACTATTTATACCCAGGAAGGAAGGGATCAGATACGGCATCGTCACAAACACAGGGAGTTCCTGATTGTATGGCTCCGACAGAGCTGCCTCAAGCAAGCATCAGGTCTGACCGGAGCATATGGGCTCCATGTGGCTGATCTCAAGCACAGTGGTTTCTTGGGCTCTGCATGCACTCCTGGTGACCAAGTCTGGGACAGTTCCTCAAGAATCTTCCTTATGGAGGGGTAACCTTATTCCCCCCATGAAACAGTAAAGGCAAAATTCTGTGGGAGAAATAATATGGGAGAAATTCCTCAGTGATTTCATTTTCCTTAATCTCTGCAGGTGGGTTTTATTGTAGGAGGGCACATTCTGTCCTGTTGTGTATTTGTGTGAAAAATTGTCATCACAAACTGCTGCTATGATCGCTCTGCCACACAGCTAAAATCTAGTCCTTTCACTGGTATACAACGTATCCAACAACTTCAGCCCTAATGGAGGCAGACATCTTTCAGATAAGAAAATTACACATATATGCAGATTAATGACAGTCCTAGATAAATGCTAGTCCTAGTCAACACTTTCATCCTCGGTTTATGATGCTTATAATAATAATAATGTAATTACAGGAGAGACAGGTGGCAAAACCTATTATTAAGGTTGCCTGACATTTCCCATAGTTAAGGAAGCCAGCTGCTCAGCCCTACAGCTGATTGGGGTTGTCCACCCCAGTAACTAGAGGCATACCGAGCCTGCCTAAGCTACGTATCACCGGCCATTTCTCCCCATGAGTGGACGTTTGAGGCAGTGATATGTACTTGACTGATTGTAGGTTTGGGGTTTTTTTTGATTCTGCCTCAATCTTGCTCCAGCTCCTTTTTGTTATGCAATGTTATGTAAATAAAATGTGGGTAAATTCAGGGTTTTAATCCTCCAGGCTAAGCAGTGGCATTGTGATAGGAATCCAAGGTGAGCTGAGTTTCTTGTTTGTGTTTTTTTCTTCACTGTTTAAAGGCTGCTGAAGTAAATGTGACTTTCATTTCACCAAGTTATAAAAAACATACTTAGTTTTTTTCCAAACTGTACTTCCAACAAATGGTTGAAGATGAGCAGGCATAGCCAAACAGTAGACTGCATTCATGTCAGCCAGTCTTGTCAATGCTACTATGAGGATGAACTTCTGTTCAGCCACAGTACCAGCCTGTGTTGTTAATGCATTATTTCATGCCTGCCTCCACATTGATGCCACAGCATGGAGAAATTCACACAAGCATGCAAACACCGGAGTAACTTTGTCTTCAAAACCTTGCTCAAATATTCTTTGCAGTGGTGCCCACCAAAATTTCAACAGCAGCCAAGCTGCTGCTGACCTGAGATTAGGGCTTATCTCGCTGACTTGTGGAGTTCCCTTGAACTCCCCTGGCACTGTAGCCAGTTGTTTCTTAGGCTTAGATTGTAAGTTATCTGTCATGTGGATCATTTTTTCTCTCTTTGCTTAGTGTCTGAGACAATAAAATTTTTGTCTGTAAGTAGAGCTCCAACATGCTTACAATAATAACAATAATAAGTATGATCATCTGGGGATGAATTAAGACCATGCAATAAAGGGAACAGATTCAAGTTGTTTACTAAAAGGATGTTTTCCAAGAACCGCATCTCATTTGTTTCAGCAACTGGAAAGTAGGAGTTGAAGGAAGAGAAATGAGATTTAAAGCACTTAACTTATTCCCTGGAGCAGTATGATTTATTCATGTCTTTGTCATAGAATGTTCTTGAAATGCAATGGTAAATGACTTATACCTGGGTTTTTTCACCAGTAAGCATTGATACTGCATTTCTCATGTCTGTGGTTCATGACTTCTGCAATTTGGGCCCATGTGTTTTAAATACAGGATTTGTGTGCCTGAAGTTCGAAGCTATGCTTTGAACCAGGACAATGCTGTATAATAGTTTGAAAGCTATTGGCTGAAACTGGTCACTCAAAATTAATTAAATTAATGATTAATTTACTCTTGCTAGGTGAGAGCTCCCATATGGAAGATTCAGATGAGTCAATACTCTAATTCCTAGAGCTGGGAATTACTTTCCCAGAGTAAACATAGACAAGCAGAACTGTGCCCATATCGTTCCAATAGCCATATCATATTAAAGCTGAAGAAGCAGTGTAACAATTCTCTCTTCAGAGGAAAAAAACTCAACAGTATGCAACGTGTGGCCCCAAGCACTGTTCAATGAAGAAACAGTCACATTTTGCTGTTTGCTTAGGAGGAATGGTCTGTCTTTTACACAACAATACAATTAGCAAATGGTCTGTATCCAGGATTCCGGCACCCTTAGGGAGTGGGTCATTCTGTGCAGCAGCAGAGCTCAGGGGTTGGCCAGGCATGAACATTTCACCTGCCTACGCTACAGAAGAACTTGCTGGACCAGATTCTGCTTTCCAGCACACTTCTTTCCCTGCACTGTTTATTCTAGGCAAACTGTGA